TTTTTTTAGCAACAAGTAATTCTGTCATATCAGCTTTATTGAATGAACAACAAACACTTGAAAATGAAGCTGCAAGTAAACATTTAGATCTAATGACAACAGATGATGCACGTATTGATATAAAATCTCAAGTAAAAACATTTGCAAATAATTTCCAGAAAAAATGTTCCAATAAAAATATTCATATTGATACACTTATACAAGATTATGGGACATTTAAAGATACAATTAAAAAACGTATACAAACAAATTCAATTTATCGAGGTATAAGAAAATATTTGTCATTTTTTGATTTTAATTAAAATTATATTATTAGATGAGAGTGAAGATTTAATTCATCGTGTTCGAGATTATGTTGAGAAAATAATATTTTCAAAAAATTATTCATTAATATTTAATCGTATTGCAACTGAATGTGAAGAACAAGATTTATCTATACAAAATCGAATATCATCTCTTCATTGGGTAACACCAACAATGTTAGATGCTGTTCTCAATGAAAATACTTCCAATGTTGGAGAAACACTTTATAAAGCAATTAATGGTAAATAAAACATTCATTATTCCTTTTGCTAGGAATAAACAATTTTAAATCACATCTATAGATATCCCATTAATGTACTTAAAATATCTTCCCTTTAAAAATGAACAATATACTATCTACACTCAGAAGCATTAATTCGTAGAACATTCCTTTGATAGCCAAACCTCTCTAGTTATATAAATAAGACGAGTTAGAATTTACATGTAATTCGGATCGAATAAATTTTTTTTGTTTAGCTTTAATTGAATTGGATTCAAAAACAACTCCGCAAGGAAAAATACTTTCAATTATGGAATGTAAATTATTTATTGAAGAAGCTTTACGTACATGTAGTGGAATAACAATAAATGCCGATTGTTTTCTTCCGGCACTTATCTATGTTGTATTAAAAGCGAAACCGCCAAGATTACATTCCAATATAGAATTTTTAAGTCAATTTTCTCAACCAAGTGGTGAACAACTTTATTATTTAGCTAATCTTGTATGTTTATAAGGAAAAATAGAATGAATTTGTAATATATATTTGAACTATTTTAGGATTCGGCCGTTCGTTTTATTGAACTTTTACAAGCTGAACATCTTGGTTTGTCATCTAATGATTTTTCTTTATATATGCGTGGTGAACCAATATTACCATCAAGATTTGTTCCTCTCTTTGATTATCCATTAGAAAACAATTCTAGTATTGAACAATTAAGAAAAATAACTATAGATTTTTCTGAAATAGAACATCATTGTGGAAAAGTTGATGAAAATATTCAAGATTTTAAGAAGCGTTTAACACAATTAGTAACAGATACAAATGAATTATTAAATGGTTCATATAAACGTTATTCATATTTTGAACAAATTCCACAGTTAGCTAATATTGATACAATAGATCAATCAATAACAGAAAAAAAACAGCATTTATCTGAACAACAACAAGAAGAAACAAAAACTGATCCATCAGACATCTAGCATTTAATTGATTGAATTTCCGGTGTTTTTTTTAATTCGAACAGTGCATATATACATATATTTATCTGTATATCTTTTTTTGTCATTTATTCAAATTATCTATTTTATGTCTCGTTCTTTCAATGTAGTAATAAATATGATAGAAGAGAAGTTTACCTTCACAATTTTTACGTATATCGTGAAATATAGAAAACTTATACAAAGTCAATATTCTAATCAATAATTTTATAAATATCTTTAAAAAGATAAATTATTTGTTTTCAAGTATGTGTACATACATTGCTTTTGTTTTGTCCATTCTAATTACATAGCTCATATTTCAAAAATTCTATTCTTAAAGGAAATTTGATCTTTTCTATTATTTTTCAATCATTTCTGTAACAAAAGTAATTCTATATAAACAGTGATTTCTTTCATTTGATGATTTTAATTTCTACATAAAACTACAATGTATTATTTCATTCATTGTACAACATTATTTATATTTGCCTGTTCGATTTATCAAACTGATAATTTTCTACTTAAAAATCGTATATCAAAAATTAAAATTGGTTCATTTAATTTACGACGATATTCTTTAGCGAAAGCTACACCAACAAATTCAGTTAATTTACATATATCAAAAATTCTTAAACGATATGATCTTGTTTTTCTTCAAGAAATAATTGATGCATCAAATGATAATCGTGTTATTAATCATCTTTTAAATCATCTTCATAAACAATCGAAATCAATCAAATATGAAGCTATTATTTCATCACCACTTGGTTTAACATCATATAAAGAACGTTTAGTATATTTATATCGTAAAAAATCTTCTCATATTCAAATACTTTCATCTTATGTTTATAATGGATCCGTAAGTAAAATGTTTGAACGTCCACCATTTATTCTTCATATAAAATTATCATCATTTGGACAAATTATATTTATTGGTGTTCATCTTAAACCAGATAATGTTTATAATGAATTTCGTTTTTTACGAACAGTTATTGATGAATTCAAAGAACAATCATCATCAATTATTTTATTAGGTGATTTTAATGCTGATTGTTCATATTTAAATAATGCAAAAAAGAAAGAAATAAGAACATCGTATTTTAATGAATTTCAATGGTTAATTGATGATCGAACAGAAACAAATTTACTTCAATCATGTTCATATGATAGAATCTTAGTTTCATCAGGTATAAATCATTGGAAAAAAGTCAATTGGAAAGCAAAAACAAATGGAACATTTGAATTTGATAAAAAATTTAAATTAACTAAACAATTAGCATTACAAATTAGTGATCATTATCCAGTTGAAGTTGATATTTATTAAAACGATAATAATACACTTAGATTTATATATCATAGGTTGCTTCAATAAAATAAAAAATTTGATTATTAAGTATAGTTATTAATATTAATGAGAGAATAATATATTTTTCATCATACTATTTTATAGACATGAATTATTATTCGTATCAATGAGGAAAAATTTTTTACTATCATCATTCAGTAATAAAATGTATTTTTGAGAATATACGAGAAAAAAAAGAATTTTAAACACTAGAAAGAAGAAAAAGGTGCTTGTGATATGGCGCAAAACTAAATGGTAGCAAATATTTTTAATGGCCTTTTAACATCTTTAAAAAGGACAAGAAGTAAAATCATCGTTGTCAGACATCGCCTCTCTAGTATAATTTAAGCAAATAAAAACTCTTTTAAATGTTAGAAAATAAAAAATGATGATAGCTTAAATCAAAGCAGGGTATATTGATTTATTTTAAAAATAAATTGAACAAAAAATAAAATGTATATATGTATATAATTGATTATTTTTCTTTTTTTTTTTTGAATAAATATAGAATATATATAGGAATGTGTCTTTTGAAAGAAAAGTTTTTTTTTTTTGTTTTGTACAGATTTTTAATTATTATTTTTATTTTCTGATTGAATTAATTCGTTTGTTGAACCTGAACTTGTTGGACGAGCTTGTTTACTTTTTAATTGTTCTTGTAATTGATGTGTCCAACTAGTCATTGTATCAAGTGGACGTTTTGCTTTTACTGCTGTATCATTTTGTTGAACTATATCAACAGCATAAACACGTTTATCATCTAATTCTTTTTCTTTTTGTTTTGCTAAAACAACAGCAGCAAATGATTGAATAAGTGCATTATTTGGTGTTGTATGTTGATCAGGTGAGTGATATCCATTATATTGAGGATTTGATGGAGTTTCAGTACGTACATGTTCAGGATCCCATACTGTATTCATAACATGATAATTAACTCCTTTTACCGTTTTATTAGGCATTGAACTTCGGTTTGCTTCTGCATCTTGTTCATTCATAGGTGAATTAGCATTTTTTACACGATTATCATCATCGTTATCATCATCGTCATCATATGAACAACATTTAAAACGATACCATGGACATCCAATAGTCGATGCAATATCATCCCATGGTAAATCTGATAATGTTAAAAGTACAACTAAACCACAAACAAAACCAAGTACCGACCAAAATGCAGCATGGCGTTGTCCTTGTGTTGGATCTTCTTTTGCTAAAATAAAAACAACAAAAAAATTTATTCTAATAGTTTTATATTAAAATTTTATAATATACGTATGTCACAATTTGGTCCACTAAAAAATACATTTGAGCAATCACATGTATAATTATTCAGAGCATTAGTACATGATCCACCATGTTGACATGGTGATGATAAACATTCGTCGATTTCTTGATCACAATAAGTTCCTGTATATCCTGGTGGACAAATACAAAGTTCTCGTCCAACATTTAAGTAACATGTCGCATTATTTAAACATGAATTATTTGTTGAACATCGATCTATATAAATAAATTTTAAAAGTCTTGAAATTAATATATATATATTAACCTTGGTATTCACAAATAAAATGCGATAATTTGCTATTCATATCATCAACTACTTGATATGTTTTTACAGTATTACTATAAACGATTCGATAATTTGATGCATTACCATCAATTAATTGATCACTTGCATTAAAATACCATGATATTGCTTGATTTGACCAATTCCATGATGATGATGCAGCAACACCATCTGTCCAAAATTGACTTTCAATACCCCAAGCTATTATTTAATATAAAAACAAATAAAAATTTTATTTATTAAATTTATAAAAAAAAAATACCTTTCATCCAATAAACTAATGATGTTGTTTCAACAACCGATTCAAATGCAACAAGATGAGTAGTATAGCCTGTTCTATTGGTCAAGTTTGCACTTGTATCATTAATACAATATTGCCGTGCATCAGACCATGTTAAATTAGTTCCATTATTCATTTTATAACATCCATTTAATATTGAATTATATGATGATGGACAAACAATTGTTTCACCCATATTAAATAGATTAAATAATAATACATATTGAATTATTATAAAAGACTAAACAGATGAAAAATTTATAATATTTAATTATATAAATAACTTACTAAGAATAACATTTCTTTTATAATGTAAACTTAATTTAATAATTACAAGATAAATCGAATAGAACCAAACGGAGAAAAAAGACTAGTAGTGGTGATGGTGGTGATGAAGAAGAATAGAAAGCAGAATCAATAGTTAGTCGGTGTGTCGATGTCCCTTGTCGATGACGTGTGTATGTGTGCACGTTCCAAGACCGAATGAAAATGAATAATAAAATAGAAGACAAATTGTGTATATATTTTTTTTTCTTTCTCTATTTTTTTCACACTTGAGCACAAGAATATGATGAAATAGAACAAATGAGTTTTCCGTCATTTATTTCTTTCTTTTTTTTTTATATATATTATTGCCCATTGATTCTATTTGTCTGCGTGCTATTGGTACCGAGTAGAAAGAAAAAATAGCAAAGAATATTTTCTTAATTTTTTTTCAATTATATATCGTTTAAGCAAATAAGAAAAAGAAAAAAAAAGTGCTATTCAAATAGTACTTGTTTTTTTTGCTAATAGTTCTATTAGAGGTTGATGAAGTAATATTTTAAAATTTTATATAAAAGGTTTTCTTTTCTTTTATGAACATTATACTCTTGAAATGATAGTTGAATATTGACAGTATGCAAAAACAAAAAAAAAACATTGATATATCATCAAGGAAATGTAAATTTTCCAAAAAAGAAACTACGTGAATTGTTTTTTTACCGAGAAAAAGAAAACGATAATTTACATTTAAATAATGCACTTTTCTTTTTCTAAATATATAATATTATTAATGATGAATTTTATTAAAGCAAGAAAAATAAATAATTAATAAATAAAATCTCTATTGTTGTTTAATTTCGGTAGTAATGGAAAAAATTATTATCGATTATTTGAAATTTCAATATATATATACACGGGTGATATGCAAATAATTATTTACAGTCATTCCTTCTTTTTTCAAATGAGATTAAGAAATTAAAGTCTTTTAAGCTGGCAAAATTGAGTCTAAATATAATTTCTAATTCAGATCATGAATAGTAATAAGTTCCGAACTTTTTTCATACCCAAAAACATGTATTGTAACATCATTTAAAACTGAGAAGTGTTAAAGTAAAGAATAATTTTCTTTGTTAAATATTTACATAAAAAATAAACCTTTACTATTAGATCGGTATTACTGATGACCGTGAGAATATCAGACAGCTTGGTTGTTCAATTGATAAAAATAAAAACTTGATTCTATTCATGTATATAGTCCTACGTATTTCATCGAAGACATTTTTTTTGAGTAAGATACAATTCAAAGATTTCGACTTGCTTCCAAAACAATATATGTATTTTGCTTTAAACAATTCAAAGAATTTATGATATTGAGCTATAACCAAATTGAGAAGAAATTTTTAAGAATATTAAAAACAGACTAACCTATCTATCTTGATGAAGACAAATAGAATTAGCGCTTCTCAACTTTTGCCTTTCAGCAATCAATTGTGTTGTTTATTAATATAGAAACACTCATCAGGGTTGTGCATTATAAAAAAAAT